TCCCGCTGCTCCCCCCGGCTCCCCCACCCCCGTTACCTCCCCCAGCCCTCACCAGCCCGTGGCTCAGGCTCAAGGCCCGGCTCAGGGCCCGTCCTGCCGTCCCCACCGCCCCCGATGATAACATGGCGGAGCCCTCTCGCTCACGGCGTGCCAAGCCCCCACGGGCCTGCACTGCGCCTGCGCACAGCCTTTCCCCCGCCGCCGGCGCTGCCTCGCCGCGCGCCTGCTTGGAACGCGCGACCCGGGGGTCGGGACCCTCTCGCCATCCCCTGGAGGAGGCGGAGCGCTGAGAAACCTTCCGTTTATTAACCCAGGACAACGAAGAGCTCGCCCCCTCACAAAAGAGAGGGGAAATACTAGGGAAGCACGTGCTCCTGGGGAGTGGGGACGCGGCCGGCACCGGGGTGGGGGGGTGTTCCCACGGCAGGCACGAGTGGAGACTCCCAGAGTCCCGGGGACCGGCGGGGGCCCGTCCGGGGGCACAGTGGCACTGGGTGGCAATGACGGTGGCACTGGGGGCAGCTCCAGGTGACAATGACAGAGTCACTGGGAGCAGCCCCAGGTGACGATGGTGTCACCAGGAGCATCTCCTGTTGACAATTACGGTGTCCCAATTACAGGGAGATGCTCCAGGTGACAATGACAGTGGCACTGAGTGGAGCTCCAGGTGACAACAATAGTGTCACCAGGAGATCTCCAGGTGACAGTGATGGTGTCACCAGGAGCAGCTCCAGGCAACAGTGACAGGGTCACTGGGAACAGCTCCAGGGAACAGCGAGTGTCACTGGGAGCAGCTCCAGGTGACAGTGACAGTGTCACCAGGAGCAGCTCCCGGTCCCTGGGAACACCTTCAGGTGACAGTGACAGTGTCCCTGGAAACAGGGCCGGTGGCATCTGCAAAACCAGGGACAGGGAAGTCAGCAGGGTGTCCCAGGAATGCCCCAGGATTGCCTTGGGAATGTCCCCTCCCAGACTCACCGGGCAGGCTGCAGCAGGATGAGGTGTCGGGGGCATCCCCAGGGCTATGGTGGGAGTCAGACATGAGGCTCGGGAGAGAGGTGACACTGTCCTGTATGGCAGAGGAGGGGTGAGCAGCCAGGGACACCGAGGACAGCTCAGGGACATCAGGACTGTCCCACATCCTGGGAACACCAGGGACATCCTGGGGACACTGGGGACCATCCCACATCCTGGGAACACCAGGGACATCCTGGGGACACTGGGGACCGTCCCACATCCTGGGAACACCAGGGACATCCTGGGGACGCTGGGGACCGTCCCACATCCTGGGGGCATCGGGACTGTCCCACATCCCAGGGGACACTGGAACCATGCCAGGGGACACCAGGACCATCCCTGAGGACACTGGGACTGTCTCATATCCCAGGGGACAGTGGAACCACCCCATATCCCAGGGGACACTAGGACTATCCCACATCCCAGGGAAAGTGGGAAGAGCCAGGAGAGCCATCCTGGGGACAATGGGACCGTCTCACATGCCAGGAATGCTGGTGGGACAGCGGGAAGGGGAATGGCAGGAGCAGCTCACCGGGGTCTCCTCCTGCGTGGGGGGGCTGTGGCCCCCTAGCCCCTCCTCATCCTCAGGGGGCCCCGGGATGGCGTATCCCAAACGGACCAGCTCCGCCCCCACATCTATGCGCTGGGAGAACACCAGGAATGGTGGGAATGGTAGAAATATTGGGAATACCAGGAATAGTGGGAACACTGTGAATGGTGGGAATACTAGGAAAGGTGGGCACACCAGGGAAGAATGGTAGGAATAGTGGGAATGGCAAGAATACCAAGAAAGATGGGGACATGGGGAATGTTGGGAATAGTGGGAATACCAGGGATGGTAGAGAAATGATAGGAGGAATAGGAGAAATGATAGCAACAGTGAGAATGACTGGAATACCAGGAATGGTGAGATTGGTGGGAATGGCAGGAACACTGGGAATGTTGGGAATGGTGGGAACACTGGGAATGACAGTGGGAGCACCAGGAACAGTGAGAACAGCAGGAATGGTGGGAATGGCTATGGAAACACTGGGAATGGCAGGAATACTGAGAACAGCAGGAATGGCAGGGGGGACACCGGGAACAGCAGGGATGGCAGTGGGAACACTGGGAACAGTGGTGGGAACATCAGGAATGGTGGGAACGGCAGTGGGAACAGCAGGGACAGTGGTGGGAACAGTGGGCTGGGGCCCCACCTGTGTGCCGCGGTGTGTGAAGAGGCGCAGGCTGGGCCGGGGGCAGAGCCCAGAGGGGCAGTAGCTGCAGAGCTGGGCCACCAGTGGGGCCCACTGAGCACAGCCTGTGAGCTGCTCGAACGCGTCCAAAGCCGCCTCCTCCCAGTCGTTCCC